CCCCCCCGTCCTGGAAGTGCTGAGTGCTTGCAGTGCACCTGGGACAGCTGCTGGAGTCATGCATGCATGGTGCTCGTGAGAAATAGGGCTCGTTTTTAAAGTAGGACGTGAAATTGGAGGTGGCTTCGGAGAATTGAAATCCTTATCTCTGTAAGGCTTCCTGCATTTGCAAAAGGAAAACTACAAAGCTGGATGAAGAAAACACTTCAGTGTCTTCTAATGGAAGATGTTGTTATCTTCTGCATCACTGAGTGTGACGCACACATGAGGAAGATGCTGCAGTGATCTCTGCCTGCTGTTAGGTTTTATTTCTTGAATGAGTCGGAGAGTCATAGGGAAGTTGTGGTTTAAGTTTACAGATGCTTCCCTATGTGGTATGTCAAGTGGTTGACTGTATTTCACGCTCAAAGGATTGAATTTACTGTTAAAGGCATTGGGAAGGAGTTTCGCGCCGAGGTGGGTTTGCATTTCCTCTGATGTATCGGGTGCTGCCCTTTCCCTGGCAGATGCCAGCCACTGCTTGCAGCAGGATTACGCATCTGGGATCCATTTGCTTTGCAAACACTGATGAATGTTATCTCAGGCCAGCGTGGCAAAGGTCTGTTTGTCTTCTGAGTCCTGGCTTAATGATGGAGCAATGGAGTCAAGAGTGTCTGACTGACTTACAGCCATTAGGAAGTGGGATTCTTGACCTGGTGCCATTCAAACCCAGTGCCTTCACAGAAAGCCTGGAAGGAATCATTTCAGGCTTCCAGCTCCTCGGGTCCCAGTAGCAGCGCGGCTGTGCACCAGCGAGGACCAACACCGACGTGTGAATCCAGGCCTGTGGAGAGGGCTTGGACATGGCTTGCTCTGTGTGTTGCAGGTCGCTGTGCAGCGTGGCTGTGCAGCGTGGCAGCGGTGGCTTTGCCTCCGTAAGTTTGCAGGCAGAGTGCGAGCGCTGCTTCTGCTCTGCGGTGCTCGGGGGCTGTTTCCTGCGGTGGCATTTGGGCTGGAATGCAGGAGTGCCTCTTCCTTTCCAGTTACCGCTTGTGCTACAGGAGCTGCTTTGGGCAGTGTTTTGCTGCTGTCAGAGGGAGGGTATTGCAGAGGCAGACCCCTTGCTGTCACCCTGCCCCATCCCTGCTTCGTCCCTGTTCCATCTTCAAAATAGAGATTCGTAGAATTTGTGACGTGGGCTGTGCTGTGCCTCCTCAGATGCTCTTCCCGTATGAGACCTTGGCTTTCAGGCCTGGTTTTGTTACTCAGCTCTGTACCTTATGGAGTGACGTTTTGAATCCATTGGCTTTGGTGCCAGAGCTCCCGTTCGCTTCAGAGGGGCTGGGATGTTGCCACACGTGTGGTGTGGTTGTCAGGAGTGGTGTTTTCTGCCCAGACACGTGTTCACAGCACTGTGAGCAATCGGTGATGGAAGAGGTGCTTGTTCTGTTGTTGACCATTTCTTTTGCTTTTCGGTGACACAATTTCTTGAGTTCCTTCATTTCATTCAAGTGGGGGTGATGAGACTCGCCTTGCTTCAGAGTTTGGTTTGGAGGTCTGTGAATGGAAAAACTCAATGCAGTTTGCAACCAGAATCACAAACTAGCATTGCCTTAAATTTTTTGACGCGGACAGGTTTACTTTAGAAGTAAGCTATGATTTGCCTCGATCCTGCCACCATTTCAAGCTTGTGAATGGCAAAAAATTGTGAAAGCAAAGTAGGTCTGAAGTTTTGGCACTTTGCTAGCCGAGTGTATCTGGTAGCATTGGTGGAGGGCATTCTGATTTGTGCGCTTGCAGAACACAGAGAACAAAGCTAATCTCATTTGTGGCTGCCTGGATGATGTCCTGTCTGTTGTCTTTGGGCTTACAGTCATATAGTTTGTTTGGTGGGTAACTGCAAGTAGATGCTTTCTCTGCCCCTCCTCACTTTTTAGGAGATGGTGCACCATGAGCACGTGGTTGTGTGCTGCTCCAGGATCAGCTGTGTGCTGGCTTGCTCTGATGCTGCCTCCCGTTTGCCTCTTGCAGATCGCTTCCTTTCTGTGGGAATCTTACTCCAACTATTTAAATTAAGCTTTGTCTCCTGTCGCCCGGCAGAAAAATGTGAGGATTAATTAGTTAATATTTGTGCAATGCTTTGAAGAGTGCCATATTAAAGTGCTAAGGATTTTCAGGTGTCATTTTTTGCCCTCTCTTTATAAGTCCCATTAACAGTATTTTTGTCTTCCTCTTATAGCATCTCCTGTGTGTGCTTCTTGAGTAGGTGATACTTCTTCAGACTTCTTCAAAACTCAATTTTTGGTGGGGGATTATGTGGCATATGCTTTACTCA